ATGGAGTTGTCCTAAACTTGAAAGGCTCACTAATGAAGAAGATGCACATGGTGATCGTCTACCGCGCCAAAGGGAGCCCCTTCAAGACTACCCATACGTAAGTGTTATATCCGCAAAATTCGTCTTGAATCATTGCACATTTGAAATAATAATCCATGTTGATGCGTTTGCTGAAAAAAGGTTGCAAGCTGAATTTGTTTCTTTTCTTTTGGTGCTGAATTTTATATCCTTTTCTTGAATTAGCATGCGAAATTAATGTGCCTACTTTATCAATGTATTTGTTAGTTTTAACTCTTTGGTCAAATAAATAGTTATGTGTATTACAATTTCTAACACCATCTATATATTGCGGAAACTAGTTTTTAGAGGCTAGTATAAATTTGTTCAATTGCTAAGAGTTTCAGATATTTTTAGGACATTTCGTTTTTGCTTTGCTGCATTCTACCTAGTCTTTTTTAATTAAAAATTGGCCTCTTTACTTTTAAACTTTATTTTAAAAAATCATGTTTATGAGCCAATAATATACGTATGATTAAAAAAGTACTCCAACATATTCTGAATGAGACGCAACAGTCATTTTCTTTAATTCGAGTTTTTGCAAATATATAACTGTATTTTTTTATTTCTGAAATTTGAAAGCTCTGTAGCAGCGTCATACGTAGTGTTTTTATATGTGTGTATGTGTGTGTGATTGAGCTACTATTTGAGTTTTACTTTTTATTTCAAGACAAGAAAATGCTATTTGTTTTTATCGATTTGTATCTTTCATATTAAACCTTTTTTTCCAATCAAATGATTACTCTTAATTTGCCAAATGCAACGCTATATATTTTCCAAATAATTAATTTCATGTTTTGAACAACGCTTTATTTTTTTTATTTCCTATTTTTGTTAAGGAAATAATTCTGACTCACACGATCAGAGTAAGAGACGAGTTGTTGTAATTAATGTGTGCATTTCATAATTATAATTTGAATACACATATGTATGTATATATGTACAGGGGAATCAGACTGTGGTCACTACTGCAGAAAGCTCCCACCATTCACGAAATCAGAAACTCTGGACCCCTTTCCTAAGTTTGAAAGATGTATATATTGTAGGAAGTGGAATGAAAGGTAGTATGTTTGAGGTTCAGCAAGTAAGAGGAACAGAATCTATTGAAGCAAGAGACGAACCTTTGACATTGAATTCAGAGTTGTGTTCTTTAGGTTTATATAATCTAGAACAGTTGGAATATATTTGGAAGGGCCCCACACAAAGTGTGAGCCTCCATAGACTTGAAAGGATTGGATTGCAGAAATGCTCAAAGTTGAAGAATATTTTCACTGTTGCAATTGTCACAAGCCTTCCAGAATTGAAGACATTACACGTAGATTCTTGTGGTGAATTGGAGGGAATATTTTGTGAAGAATCACTTGAAAATCTTTCTTCTTCTTCTAATGTTTGCTTCCCCAAACTTGAGTGTATTATAATATGGGGATGCAATAAAATGAAAAAGGTGTTCTCATATTCTATGGCTTCTCATCATTGTCCTTCACTAGAGAGGCTGGGCATAAGTGATTGCTCTGAACTGGAAAGGGTTGTTGATGAAGAAGCAGCACATGATGGGGGTTGGCAGCTACCTCTTCTCAAACTGAAGGAATTAGATCTACGAGGGGTGCCGAAATTGAGAGAGATATTCGGAGGAGCATTATTAGAGTGTCCGCAACACGTAAGTATTTTTCGCAAACAATCAAATATTATTTTTAGCTCAACTTGTTGCTTTTCTCATAATAAATAATAACATGAATGATAACACGCTATTATTTTTAATCTGTATTTGTTATTTTTTTTGTTGGTGAACTTTTTTTTTCCCGATAAAACGTACGTAACTCCTTTTGTTCTTTTGCTGTTAAAATTTTTGTCAAAATAATTTCTTTCACGTTGCCAAAAAATTTCTTTTGTTGAGTCTACCCCTTTTCCTGTTAAAAATTGTCATGTTTATTTTTAAATTTATTTGGAAAAATCGTGCTTACTACCAAAGAATATATATATATATATATATATATATTAGTTTTAAGAATATATGTTGAATATAATAACAGGAACTAATTATTTCAATTTTTGGTTAATGTTTTGGCGCCAGCTCATTATTGTGGAAACTGAAAGTAATTATCCAAGACTGTTTTATTTGAGACAATGATGTGTGGATAGTATATGGAGGTCTAAATTAATAAAACTTGTGTTATTACAATATTAAAATTATGTGAAAAATGGGGTTTAATTTTTTATTTTTTCTTGATGAATTTTGATAAAACGTTAACTTCTTTTGTTCTTGTTTTTTAAAAAAAAATTGTCAAATAATTTCTTTAACTTTGCTAAGTGCACCACTTTGTCAAATGTGCGAAATTGATTGGGTTTATGTTGTGAAGAGTGTCGTAAAAATTGACATGTTTGCTTTGTCAAATTTGTCGTTTAGCTATTTTAAAGAGATTTTTTTCCTTTTGTTAATTCTCCCATTTTTTCTTGTTAAAAATTTTAATTGATTTGAAAAAAATCGTGTTTTTACTATCAAATTTTGGGCAGTAATTATTTCAAATTTTGTTTTAATTAATGTTTTCGCTCCAGCTCATTGTTGTGGAAATGGAAAGTGATTATTCAATACTGTTTTATTTGTAACAAATCAGCGTGGATAATATATGAAGGCCCAAATTAGTAAAATTTATCTTATTGAGATTACGTTATTACAATATTAAAAATACACGGAAAAAAAGGGGTTCCATTCGTAATGTTAATTTACAGTTTGATTTGATATGGTTGATGTATATTGTCTATCTTTCATATTGTCATGTAATCATTGGATATAATTACTTTACAGAAAAATGAGAATAAGGGAGCAAGGACCGTGAATTCAGAGTTGTGTTCTATATTTTTATGGGTTCTAAAAGAGTTGGAATACATTTGGAAGGGCCCCACACAAAGCGTGAGCCTCCATAAACTTGAAAGTATTGAATTATCGGAATGCCTAAAGTTGAGGAATATTTTCACTCTTACAATTGTCACAAGCCTTCCAGAATTGAAGACATTAGCAGTATCTTTTGCTGAGGAATTGGAGGGAATATTTTGTGAAGAATCACTTGAAAATCTTTCTTCTTCTTCTAATGTTTGCTTCCCCAAACTTGAGAATATTGAGATAGGGAGATGCAATAAAATGAAAAGGCTACTCTCATATTCTATGGCTTCTCATCATTGTCCTTCACTAGAGAGGCTGGACATATATGAGTGCTTAGAACTGCAGAGGGTTGTTGATGAAGAAGCAGCACATGATGGGGATTGGCGGCTACCTCTTCTCAAACTAAAGGAATTAAATCTACTACGGTTGCCAAAATTAAGAGAGATATTTGGAGAAGCATTATTGGAGTGTCCGCAACACGTAAGTATTTTCCGCAAACAATCAAATATTATTTTTAGCTCAACTTGTTGCTTCTCTGATAATAAATAATGAACATGAATGATAAAATGCTATTATTTTTAATCTGTATTTGTCATTTTTTGTTGGTGAACTTTTTTTTCCCGATAAAACGTACGTTAACTCCTTTTGTTCTTTTGCTTTTAAAATTTTTGTCAAAATAATTTCTTTCACATTGCCAAATAATTTCCTTTGTTGAGTCTACCTCTTTTCCTGTTTAAAATTGGCATGTTTATTTTTACATTTATTTTAAAAAATCGTGTTTACTATCAAAGAATATATATATTAATTTTAAGAATATATCTTGAATATAATAAGAGGAACTAATTATTTCAGTTTTTGGTTAATGTTTTGGCGCCAGCTCATTATTGTGGAAATGGAAAGTAATTATCCAAGACTGTTTTATTTGAGACAATGATGTGTGGATGATATATGGAGGTCTAAATTAATAAAAATTATGTTATTACAATATTAAAATTATGTGAAAAATGGGGTTTAATTTGTTATTTTTTCTTGATGAATTTTGATAAAACGTTAACTTCTTTTGTTCTTTTTTTTTTGTTTTGAATGGTCAAGTAATTTCTTTAACTTTGCTAAATGGACCACTTTGTCAAATGAGCAAAATTGATTGGGTTTATATTGTGAAGAGTGTCGTAAAAATTGGCATGTTTGCTTTGTCAAATTTGTCGTTTAGATATTTTAAAGAGATTTTTTTTACTTTTGTTAATTCTCCCTCTTTTTCTTGTTAAAAATTTGAATTGATTTGAAAAAAAAAAATCGTGTTTTCACTATCAAATTTTGGGCAGTAATTATTTCAAATTTTGTTTTAATTAATGTTTTCGCTCCAGCTCATTGTTGTGGAAATGGAAAGTGATTATTCAATACTGTTTTATTTGTAACAAATCAGCGTGGATAATATATGAAGGCCTAAATTAGTGAAATTTATCTTATTGAGATTACGTTATTACAATATTAAAAATATACGGAAAAAAAAGGGGTTCCATTCGTAATGTGAATTTACTGTTTGATTTGATATGGTTCATGTATAATTACTTTACAGGAAAAAGAGAATAAGGGAGCAAGGGCCCTAAATTCAGAGTTGTGTTCTATATTTTTAGAAGATCTGAGAGAGTTGGAATACATTTGGAAGGGCCCCACTCAAAGTGTGAGCCTCCATAGACTTGAAAGTATTAAATTGATGAGATGCCTAAAGTTGAGGAATATTTTCACTATTGCAATTGTCACAAGCCTTCCGGAATTGAAGACATTACACGTAGATTCTTGTGGTGAATTGGAGGGAATATTTTGTGAAGAATCACTTGAAAATCTTTCTTCTTCTTCTAATGTTTGCTTCCCCAAACTTGAGTATATTGAGATATGGAGAAGCAATAAAATGAAAAGGGTGTTCTCATATTCTATGGCTTCTCATCATTGTCCTTCACTAGAGATACTGGGCATAAGTGATTGCTCTAAACTTGAGGGGCTTGTTAAGAGATCTAAAGGTGAAGTTGAAGTTGGTGATCATGGAAACCTATTCCCCAAATTGAAGGATTTGTATCTCGAAGATTTGCCACAGTTGAGAGAGATATATGACGGTTATGAGTTCAGCCTCCCATCTGGTACTACACGCATACGACGTTGTCCATATATGCACAATATTCCACTATTGGAATACGAGGCCTCATGAGGTACTACGCTTTTTATTTCCACGTGGACACACTCTTCCTTTCAAACTCTATCTTTTGATGCTTTCTTACATTTTATTTTTTTTAATGGATGGAATAGTTTTGTACGATTGCTATTCACGTCACTCTGTCTGATACAGCACTTCATTTCCATCTGGTCGTCTTATATATCAAACACATAATTTTGTATTTCACTGTTTCTACTTAAAATCACTTGTTTAACCTCCCCACACCCACAAAAAAAAATTTTTTTGGCTACTTTACGAGAAATTTGAATTTAAATCTTTTATTCTCCTTAAGATGTTGGTTTCTATATATATAATTGTTATTTTATAAAAAAAATATTGTATTAAATGAATGGCATGCTGCAGTAGTATTAGAGTTCAATAAGTGCGTAATCCAAACAAATCAATGTTCACCATTCACACATTCTTATTACATTATTAGCAGCTTTATAAACAGATAGATATCTAACGACAAATTTTAAAAATGCATAGGATAAATTAGGCTGTTAGTTTATATTTTTATCTGTGCCATTTTGATGTAACATTTAAGCTTCTAATCAATTATTTTCTTTTTTCAGAACCGGAGATCAAATCCGAAAATTAAAACTAAAAAGGTGATGAGGAGCTTTGGTCTTCTAATGTTTTCTTTATCTGCATTTGTGTTTTACTAAATGCTGTGTGAAAGTGTGTTAAATTTGTGTCAGTATGTTACAAATTATACACATAAGAAATTAGATATCTTTATTTTGAAATTGTGTTTGACTTGAGATGCGTTATAGTTATGTACTTATACTGAAGGTTATACACAAAATATAATAATTGCGTGGCTGCGTGGACTTCTTATTTCATCTGTAACAATTATATTATTTTTTCACATGCTGCATTAATTAATGATTTCTCCTACTGTCCTTTACTTCTCCGTCGCAATATAATTTATAATTATTATTTACAAAGAAATACAAAACATATTCATGTTTATTAGGAGAACAATTGGAAAAAAAAATTTGTTTGGGAAAAAAAATACCCCATTACAAATAATTGTGTATAAATTATATCATTAGAAATGCGTCATTTTAAATGTCTGACAATCATCCAAAAGATCGCATCCCTTAATAAAAGTAGTATCAGAAAGAAAATATTAACAATAAAAAGAACAATAGACTATTATTTTATATTATAACTAAATTTTCATAGAACTCATAATTAGACCAGACATAATTAAAAAATCGATAGCCAATAAGAATCTGTAAATATTTATCCGGCATTTAAAATAACTTGTGCACAGTCCAACCAAAATTTCAACATTATAACACAATAGCAAGTTATTGTTCTGTAATATACAACAGCCTCTATGGAATTATCTCAGAGAGAATGTCAAATGAATGAAGCAAAATAAAAGACAAAATGTTGTTTATTATATGTGGGAGATTTGTTCTCTCTTCTCTCCACCCAATCAGCTTCAAAATATACACAAGGGACTGCAACAGAAAAAGAGTGTTAGTATTAAGCATATTTCAGTACTGAAAGCAATGTTCTTTCACCAGATAACCAAGCTATCATCAGAAAAGAACATTCTTTTATTTGGGATTAGATATTATAGTGTGATGGGATGAAGGTCAGAGTATATCAAGCAACTCTAAAGCTTCTTTCAAGAATAAATCCATCTTTTTCTAGATGTATCATAATCATGCAAGACACAAGATTGTCAAGTTATAGGAAGAAAAGCAGAAAACTTTTTGAAGCGTCTGTGGTGACTCCAGACGCGGCCAAAGAAATTAAGATTCCAATCATCAACATGAATAAATCATGAAGCGACTTACTTTTGAACGGTGGTTTTTAACAATGACTTCATAAATCAGGAACTCTCTTCTTGCTCATCCATCTCATCAAGGATAACATACTTTGTAGCCGAATCTGTTTTGAAGGTCCCACCCACATCCTCTTTACCCGCTTCACCCTTCTGAAGCTTCCAGTACCTGCCATTCAAAATGGAGAGAGCATGACCATCACCATCCTTGAAGTTCGAGGCTCTAAATTAAATTAAGAGGGAAGAAAATTATGACCAAATACCAAAATAAATTGATGAGAAGCGCATTAGCTAATGACTTACTTGTACCAATTGAATAAACCAACACCAACAATGATAGTGAAGAGGCCAAGTCCTTTCAACCAAGTAAATTGATCATGAAAGTACAGGACAGCAACCTACACAAACATGAAAATTAAACATATATGACAAAAATTTAACAACTAAAAAAAATCAAATTTAATTTTGCATATAAAGCACTTCAATGAGCAGAAGAATATATAACAGCATGAAACATTTGTTTCTCCCATCCTCATCAAATTTACTAATTACAACTAATTACTATTATCAAAATTTTCAATGCAGATAGGGTGCAGTCGTATAGAAAAACCTGTTAAACCCCACCACACAGCCAAACCAGCAAATGCAGAAACCATCAACTCAATATTATAGAAAGATGAATACAACAACCAAAAAACTAATCAAATTATAATGCACAATCTGTGTCAAGTAACTTGGAAGCCTTCTTAAGTAATTTTTTTCATGAGTCATGAATGACATCAGCACAAAGGTGACAAGTTAGCCAGGTTCTTTAGAAATATGAGACAGACCAAAATAAAGGGTGGTAGCCGCTGGATGTTCATGTCAACAAACTGGCATAGAAAAGGTAAAAAAATGATACCAATATGGTGACAGCCTCCTTAACAACCCCAGCTATTGTAACTGTGACGGCACTAGTTACTGAGACAAGAACATACTCTGTTAGGACCTGCAAAAAGGAGATTCACCTTTGAAAACTGATTTGAGAGGAGGAAAAAATTGAAAGCTTAAATGTCAAAGAAGCAGAAAGTCAAACAATTAATATGTAATGTCATGTCCTAGGAAAGGGAACATTTACTCTTACCATAAGAAAAGCAAGTGCGCCACCTAAAAGCATTAGTAAACTACTCTGAGTAATATGCCATGGACTATTAAAGTATTCGTTTTGCCTGAATTCCCCCCATGGATCCAATGCAAGAGAGAGAAGAGCAGTTGCCCCTGCCATTACTGGAGTTACATAGCTCATCAAGGTAAGCGGATTTTTTATCCCTGAAATTATTTTAGAAAAATTATCGGCATTTCATTAAAAAGGCACAGATCTTTTAAATCTCTCAATGGAAAGTGAACATCGGTAGAGGAAAAATTAGAATAAAGAAAGATTATTCAAAGAAGACAAAAATAGAAAAACACTAAAACATGGTCATCAAGCTTTCGGTCAAGGTCAGAAGCCAGAGATAAGCTCACACATGCCTAAGGTCAGTGCATGGTAAGCTATGTTCTAGAGCATAAAGTATGATGAATGGTTAAACGGTGGTGTAAAAGTAAGAATCTAGCAGTCTGCCTGGATCTAGTCCGTGAAAAAAGACCTTTAAAGAGAATTTAGTCTCAACAAAACTTCAGGCTAATTCAACAACCTCTCTTAACAGGAATACCATCCATGATATCAAATATTATTTTTTACCCGTGTCGTAATTATAGGATTTTGCTCAGTTATTATTTGAACGGGACGACGATCCATATTCAGCAACGGAAGCCTCAATGAATGGGAGCTATAACTTTAATGGACCAAAGGTAGCAATAATTCTTTGTCAAGTAAGTTCCAGCCTACGTGAAATGCGCGACAGTTTGGTCACTGTCTTAGAGGTAGGCTCAGTAAAACAGACATGGCAATGAAGATGCAAGCTAGCTGCACCTGAACAAAAAGACCCTATGAAGCTATACTGTTACCTAGGATTGGCTTTAGACCTTTCCAGCACAACAGGCGAAAAAGACCTCTTGAAGAGGCTTAAGCCATCAGTGAGATACTACTTTAGAAAAGCTAGAACTCTAACCTTGTGCTAAGACCTACGACTTAAAGGGTTGTCTTTAGGTACACGGTTTCTATGGGGCAGTGATCTCTCAAATGGTCATGAAGGCATGCAAAGGCCCCACATCATCTTCTAAGAAAATAATAAAATCAGAATGACCATTCTATCTGCTTACGTGGCTGGTTTAAGATTTCCACGATTTGTCAGTGATGCCAATCTTCCAAAACAATATTTCTAATGTAAGAGAAGACTTTCCAGGTAAACTTGACTTAAGAATACCAAAATTTAATTCAATTTGGCAAAGGGAGCATTTAAATAAGGTGATCAAAGAGTAACTAATAAAAGGGACCAACATAAGGTTCCACAATTTCACAAAGAGATATAATGGTCATTAGTTTTCAAAAATTGTAATCCTAACAAAGACTAAGGTATATCTCTGTCATATTCTGTTTCCCCAATTTTACATCATCATCTAGTTATGGGACAAAAAAATCATTGTGTCCAAAAACAGCAGACAGAGTCTTCAGCAACCCTTGCAAAAATAGCAGCTAGTTTAGAAGGCATTGAACCTATGTGCCCACCTACAATAGGACAGCAAGGTGCTTTGGGATTGTTGTCATTTATTTTATCTTATTTTTTTCTGTGCATGTGATGTGACTCTGGAGCATAGTTGCATAACCTTTTTGAGCCTAAGATTTCTCCCTCACATCCCTAATCCTACAACAGGGATTTTGCTTCCCCGGTTCCTTGGGGATTAGAAATAAAGGGCATCTACTGGCGCTGCTATGCAAATTACACAAAAGGACAGATTTTCAGTCTTGCTATGTAATTGTTACGTACTTCCAATCTCTATGGATTAATTTCATAAAAAATGAGAACATGAAGTGGCGCATATTCAGGTCAAGTCTCTGAAAATACCAAAAATATACCATTGAATGAGTTAAAAATAGTCATGATTACGTGAGACTACTCACTTCTCATCAAAATATCACATAAATCTACAAAACTATTTTCCTTAAAAACAATTACTGCGGAGCTATTCAGGACACTTACCATGGGCTTCTTTCTTTAGCATTGGTTTGGTGTCAAATTGCATGAAGAGAACAATGACGAAGCCAGCCCAGCAAAATGGTGTAAGAATAATTGTTAAGAGCAGAAAAAATTAGTGCACAAAATAGGAAAATGGATATTAAAAAGAAATCAGAAACAAAATCTGAACCTGCAGAAGGATCTGAGTCATGCACCAACGAAACCCAGACATAACAGCAGCAAGCATAACAAGTACAAATCCCCAAAATTGAAATTCTGTCTCTTTCGCAACTGCATTTCAAGGGAATTGTATTTCAGATGGACATACAAATTTGTCAGCATGCAAAAGTTCCTAAGGCTTAAAAAATGTACTTAGCAACTGAGGAAAGGAAAAAGGAAAAAAGAAAAAATAAATTGTGCAGATGTATAAAATATCATTGTTGGTCCTTACAGTTTGATCCAATTTTGGTTTTGATTGCTGTACTTTCAAATCGTTAGTTTTGATCCCTATAGTTTCATAAAAACTTTGATCCCTATAGTGTCACAAGGGCTTAATCTGAATTTAAGTATAGGAACCAAAACCAAATTGCGTTAAAAGTATAAACCATTCGTTAAACTCAAACTGAAAAATTATAAAACTATAGGGACCAAAGCCAACAATTTGAAACTATAGGGACCAAAACCAAAATTCAATCAAACTATAAGGACTAACAATGGTATTAACCCTATAAAATAATAACTTCTATGATGGAATAAAAAAGGAGCATTCCTCATATGAATGTCAAATAGTTCCCTGTCCATATTTGACCACTTGCCCAGGTATTCACTGCATAAAACCAACACTTAGAACCAATTTGAGAATGACCA